AGTAGGCCGGGCAAAAGAGTCACATGAAAAGCATACATTCACTAGCATTCCATTTATGTAAAGTTCAAAAACTGGCAAAACTGATCCATGAGAAGTCAAAACAGTTATGCTTCTTGGGGTGGGGGACAGTGATGGGAAGGGACCCCTAGGGTTCTGTTTCCTGATCTGTATGCTGGTTGGGTGGGTATTTCACTTTGTAGAAAGTTGAGCTGTGTGCTTCTTATTTGGTCATGTCTCTTGAACTTACTTCAATACAAATGTCAGTTTGAAAAAAAAAAAAAAGATGCATGAAATGCACCTGGAAAACAGTGGGCAGTCAAGGTAGATATGGGGCCATAGTGCTGTGGCATTGTGCTCACAGGTATTCACTGAATTGCACTTTCCAAAGGAGAACAGTAAAAGCAGTACTACCAGACCAGGCCAGATGGCTGTAGGCAGGCTGAGAAGCTGGCAACTCTAACTGCTGACCTCATATTAAGGCGGGGGCGGGGCGGGTTGACTTCCAACAGCTAAGCCTGGGCAGCAGGATGCACCTGCTCAATCACTGGATAATATCTGGGCAGCAAGCACTCAAGTCCAAGTTACTGGCCAAGGAGCTCCAGCCTGCACCCTCCACCCACCATTGGCTGGAGAGGCTAGAAGTTCAGGCAGGAGGGCGTGCAACAGAAATGATCCCAGGAGGCAAGGGCCCCATCCCTTTCAGAAGATCCCAGAACTTGGCTTCTGATCACAGTTTTAGGAGGCTACAGAGCATTAAATATGTGATTGCATGGAGAGAAGCTAAGCTATAGTTCTAGTTATAACACATACTTGACACTTACTCTTTAAGAGACCTAACCAATTTCTTCCTGACCTGTATCTAAACTGTGGGCCATTTCCCTGTTAATACTGAAAACTCCAATAATAGTGTTCCTTAAGAAGGCATTTTTAAGAGATGGAATTTTTGGAATTTTTGAGAAGTAGAAACATATTTACCAGCTAAGAAAGCAGAGATTCAGAAAAGTCCACTAGCCAACAATTTGGTGGCAAAACTTGCTAGAACTTGGGAGTCATCTTTCTTCTCCTTAGAGTGGATCTGTCCTGAAGGTTGCTTACCTGGGTCACAGAAGCTGTCAATGGTGACAGCGAACTCTGGGTCTTAAAGGGGAATACAATAAATGATCTGCTCACAGGCTTAGCTCTGACTCCTGACACCTCCATGTGGAAGAAACAGGTGACTGTGTGGGGCATACTCCTGTGTGCCTTGGCTCTATTTTGGTGGGGGGAGGTGGGGAGGTGGAAGGGGTCCTACCCAAAGAACTTGTAATTTTGTAACTCCTACCAGATCCTTTTGTCTTCCCTCAAATAATAGGAATTTCCAAAACCGAAACTACATGAAGGAAAAACAGGAGAGAAAATGGCAAAGATCCATGCCTCCTCTGACCTCTCATTCTCACATTTGTCCCTATTCTCTAGAAAAATGTGAAAATTTTTCCCATAACCTCACCTGGCTTAGGGCAGTGTCCAGCGCTAGTCTGCCTCTTCTTTCCCTCAGGGAGTACCTGCTTAGCACCTCCACAGTGCCTCCGGGGGCTCTGTGACACAGAGATGGCTGAGGTACCCCCACAGGCTTCAAGGAGTTTGAGGTTAGTGGAGGAGATAAGGCATGAGCAGACGCACATGAGGTAGGAGGAAGAATGGTATCTGAGCCCTAGGAGAAGGCCAGACAGGGCCGAGGGGCCTGGGAATGCTGGGAAGCAAGAGGCAAGTCCCACTCTCAGCCTGTACTATGCACCAAGCCCCAGGTCACACAACTACCCAAACCAATAAGTGCCCTGGGAAAAGCCTCCCCTTGAGAAAGGCCCCAGTCCAAAGTCAGCAGCAGCAGCAGCAGTAGTAGCAGTAATAACAACAGTATAGTGACAATAATAATAGCAGCAATAATCATATCTTACAGGAATGAACGCTTCCTGTGGGCTGAGAACTTTTCACAGGGCATGTGATTTCATTCTCAGAACAACTCTAGAAGATACTATATTATCATTAACCTCCCTCTTATAGATGAGAAGGCTAAGACATAGAGAAGTTCTTCTATTCATTCCTCCAACAAAATGTTTTTGTTTATTTGTCTACCATGAACCTGATACTACATTGGTAGTGACCATGAGACAGAGAAAATCCATGACTGTATATGGTACATACATCCTGGTAGGAGGCAGATAACTTGCCCAAAGTCACTCAGCTTATTAGAGCTGTGGTGGCCAGATGGGAACTCAGCCACCCTGACTGCAGAACCTGAACTTTCAAACTCCCAATAAGCAAACTGCCCGGGCTTAGCCACAGTCACTTATAATTATCATTATTAAAACACCACATTTACCCTATTTTAAGATGCATAGTTTTTTTGCATTTTAATATCTGAAATTCAGCTGCATTTTTTAATATATGCTGAAAGAACCCTGTGAGCTGTAGGCAAAGAGGTTAAGTCATAATATAGTTGACTTGCTGTTCAAACATGGATTTAGATGAATACAGGTTATTTGATTACCAGTGCAATTCAGTTTTCTGCAAATGTTAACATTAAATGCAGTTGAATTTTAGCTTAAATTAAGATCCCTGCTAATACTTCAAATATACTCCAATAAGTTCACTATAATTTGATATTGAAAGAAAAATTTACTGTACATGCAAGACATTGCCTATTATGAAATTTAACTAAAGGAAATATAAATTACCAAATCTCCTGGAACAGATTACAGAATTTTCAAAGCCTAAAGAGCTCACATTCAAACGACAAACATTTAATTGTCAAAAGCTTCCAGCTATTTAACTTCCAACAATATGTAATCAATTAAGGTGAAACGAAACTACAGGTTTTGCCAAAATAAAAACGGAAGCCAAACCCCACTGCTCTATGATAAGCTTCCAAATAATACTGTCAACCTTGGGAGTACCTGGCTGGCTCAGTCGGGGGAGTGCGCAACTCCTGATATCAGAGTCATGAGTTCAAGGCCTATGTTGGGTGGAGAGATTACTTAAAAATAAAACCTAAAAAAAACAAATAAACTGCCAGCCTAAAAGGTATCAACTGGGGTCACCTGGGTGGTTAAGTCAGTTAAGCATCTGTCTCTTGATTTTGGCTCAGTCATGATCTCACCATTCATGAGTTTGAGCCCCCGTTTTGGGGCAGACAGTGCAGAGCTTGCTTAGGGTTCCCTCTCTGCCCCTTCGCTGCTCGTGTGTGTGTATGCTCTCTCACTCTCTCAAAATAAATAAATAAACATTTAAAAAATAATAATGAAAGGTAGGTACCAAAAGGATCAGGATCATCAGCAATCTACTTTACAGAAAGCATCACATAGCTCTGAGGCTACACCTAACTTCTGAGAACCAAACATAATACACAACTTCATTAATGTGAAAAATACCTATAACCCCAAACTCTAATTACACAGAACAAGCAACTCATATGTAATCATATGAATGAATGAGAGCCACTACAGACAATGTTTTAAGTATGTAGATTTAATGTCATGCTTCTTTGCTTCTGGAAAGATACAATTAACTCCATGGCTTATTTTACCATTATCAGAGGCAAAACTGATACCATTACCATTGTGAGTGGTGCCTCAAAAGAAAGGACTATGCTAATTACATTGATAGCTGCCATTTATGTACCTGTCAAACAATATACTTGATTTTTTTATATGCATTATCTGTGATCCTCATAACTCTATAAGGGAGGTACTCTTACTATTCCCATTTTACATGTAAGGAAATTAAAGTTCAAAGAGACCAGTGACTTCTGAAAATCATGGAGCCAGTAAGCATCAAGTCAAACATGGAACCAGGTGTGCCTGAGTCCAAAGCCCAAATGGTTTCCTGGGCACTAAAAAGCCTCTCCCCAATGACAACAGTGAACGAGCACCTACTAGGTTCCAGGTACCATTGATACCAGGCATTTTACATACCTTATCCCATTTAATACCCACAACCACCCTGTGGAATATATTCTATTACTTTTCTCACTCTATACGTGAGAAAACAGATGGAGAAGCAAAGTATCTCACCCAAGGTCACCAACTAACTTGTAAATACTAGCGATGAGATCTGTACCCAACTGGCCAACATCAAAGTTTATGTTATTTTCAGTACAGTAGAGTACATTCCCTGCAGTAAAGAATTTCTTCCTGGTAGAAGTAGAATGGAATCTGGTTTGGAATTCACCCAGATGAAGATGGAAGGGGAGAACAGTTCAAGCAGAGGGTCAGTGAGAGGGAAGGCCTAGAGGTAGAACAGATCAACAGTCACAGGGCAGCTAAATCTGTGGGCAGAAATCAAGCCTGTAGCACAAAGTGGTGAATGGTCAGTGAATTAGGGAACTAGGTATCAAGAGAACCGGGGTCTAGTTTTGCAATGGCTACTGACTGTGTGACTCCCAACAGATCCTATTTCCTCTCTGGGCCTCAGTTTCCTCATCAGTAAAAGTTCTAATCCCCTATTAGGTGTTCCCCAAAGGCCTTCTCTGACTTAAATGCTCAATGATGCTCCCAAGAGTCCAGGTGGGACAGTAGTTAAGACCAAGTGACAGGGGATCCCAACTCTGCACTAACTAGCTGAGTGAACTCGGAAAAGCTAATTAATTACTTCCTCCAAGTTAGTCTTCCTCATCTGTAATGTGGGGGCGATAGCTATATCTGCTTCATAGGGTTGTGGTGAAGGCTAAGCGAACTACAGAGAATAAGGCACTTAGTAGAGTATGTGGGAAACTCTAAACATCAAGTAAATGGAGGCAGATTTGTCACCATCATCATCACCACTGTTATTTCTTCCTCAAAGAGTCCAGACACCAAAGGTGGTAGTCATGAACCAGAAGGACTTTTTCTAATTATTTAAATGGACAAAAAAATAAGCTTTTTTTTTCCCACTGAAAAAGAAAAAAATATCTCACTGAACCACAACTCCCTACCAAGACCACCTCATGTGTGAGACTCCTATTTCACCAAGGGCCCAGGCCATACCTTCTCCTCTGAAGAAACGGTCAGCTTGTCACTGGATATCAAGCTGCATACCTGGTCCAGACTGAGGCTAAGAAATTCTTCCCCCAGCATCACCTCTGGAAAGTGCTGCTCTGTTCCAAAAAAAATAAAAAGAAAGAAAAAAGAAAAAAAAGCCGAAGTTCAGAAAACAAAGTTACAACACTCTTCCTGCCCTTCCAGGAACCAAGGCCATGGCAACCTGTGAAATTCGGAGTGGAGTCCTGGGGACTCTGGGGGTGGGCATGAGGAAAAGGGACAGAGAGGCAGAGAGAAAGACAGTACATTCTGGCTGAAGGGAAACTAGCCTCTTAATGTGGCAGCAAAGGCATCTCTCTGCGTGATCCTCCATCCTGAACATCAACATAGATGAAAATGGGGCAGAGAGATGTGAAGTTATATTTTCTTCCATGCTCCATGAGATTAATAATGGCGTTGCAGAATAGCCTCGCTGGGACCTGCTACTTAATTGAGCTCATTTGCCCTGAAGGTGCAAGCTGGCAGATCTGCAGACAGTGCCCCCTGCAGCTCAGCCAAACAAAAGTGGGTCAGAACTGCTGTGTGGCTGGAAGTCTCTGGGGTTCTGGTACAAAGTCAACATTTGAAGGCTGGCAGAAGGCATCATCCTTTAATGTCCAAAGCCCACTTTAAGTCCCTTAAGCCCACTACAGAGTCTATGATTCACAAGGAGGCCTGACTAAGCATCTGTCCCAGCATGTTGTCCCCACCACCATGAGGAACAGTCCGTGACAGGCAGGCCAGTGGAGACCATTAAGATGGAGGAGAATTTGGGGATGGCTAGAACGAGACAAAACACACAGGCCAGATGTCCACGCAGGGGAAATGCCAAGGACAACTGCTATCCTGACATTTGCCCAGGCCACCATCCTGCTATTACAGAGACAGTAAAATGTCAGCGAAAGAGTGTGCACTTCAGAAGGAAGGAACCTAGATTCAAATTCTGGCTTTGCATTTGCAAGCTGTGTTCCTGAGCCAAGGGCATCACCTCCCTAAGGCCTCACTATCCCTCTGTGGAATGGGGACACGACAGCTTGTCTTGCCTCCCTCCCATGCTATGATGAGAAAGGAAGTGTCAAAACTATTTTTGCAAGTTCTGCCAAGGTAAAGTGGCCCATGAGCTGACAATTCCTGATACAGCAAGTTCTGGCAACTTGGCAACTGCCTCAGGCTGGTCTCCTTCCTCAGTCCTCTCATAGTTCTGCCCCATTGGCCCAAGGAACGTCTGTGCTCCCTGCCCTCCTGGCTCCAGGCCTCCCCTCTTCTTTCTCTGCTGGCCCCTCTCTAGCCTTACAAGGCTTCTCAGATAAATCTAAAGGGCCATACCTCCCAGTTCCTATGGAGAGCTACCCCTGCTTGGTCTGGCCAGCCCCTCTAGTGAGATTCAGAATCCCTCCATCCCTGGGAAGCAACCCTGCTGCAGCCATATAATGAAAAGGAAAATCAGAGCGTGCTAAGCTCTTATATTCATCAGCTTCTTTAAAGCAAACAAAGAAGGGATGCCTGGGTGGCTCAGTCGGTTAAGCATCTGACTCTTGATTTCAGCTCAGGTCATGGTCTCACAGTTTGTGAGTTTGAGCCCCGCATGGGGCTCCATGCTGACACTGCAGAGCCTTCTTGGGATTCTCTGTCTCTCTGTCTCTGTCTCTCTCTCTCTCTCCCCCTCCCTCCCTCCCTTCCACCCCACCCTCCTGCATACTCTCTCTCAAAATAAAAAAAATAAACTTAAAAAAATTTTAAGCCAAACAAGGAAGATTTAAATCACTCCTTAAAAAATCATTTTCAACTTTAACTTGAAATAATTTCAGACCCAAAGAATTCCCACAGACCCTGCATCCAGAGCCTCCAAATGTCAATATTTTACTCTCAGAGGTCCAGTTATAAACAATCTTGTCCATCTTTCACTGGACAAAAAGGGCTCCCCACTTGTTTTCCCCTAGCCTCATGATATCACTGAGTCTATAGTTAAAGCTTGTCTACCATGAAGCTCAGGAATGCTTGGACGTGACAAAACAAATTTAAGAGGCAGATCCCTTACGAAGGGAAGCAAATGCTATAAAGTGAGAAGAAGCTCGTCTTCCTTCTTCGTATGTCAACAGGAAACAGCCTTTAGTTAAAGCTTAGATTTTAGGTTAGACATTCAAAAGACTTCCCTAACTATGGGAATATTGAGGACTACATGACACTATATTTAAAGCATTCATTCCTAAAGATTTTTAAATAAGGGCAAGTGAACAATATCCTTTGGATGATGGGAATTAGTTCTTGGCCTTGAAGCCTTGGAAAGCAACAGGATTCTCCCTATATGCCACTTCTTGTCCAAGAAGTCTTTGGACCAGAGATCTCCATCTGTTGGCAACACCAAGAATTACTGAAGAGAAAAAGCAGTCACCACACCAAAATAAAATTTAGGACATCTAGACTCTGTATCTGCCAAGACTGAGCTAAGCAGGAGAGTTCAAGCAAACCAGCACCCACAACATGCGGGTGGATGTGGGTGGCCCGGAGCCACACACAACCTTCCTGTCTTTATCTTTGGCTGACCAAAACCCTGACATTTGGAGGAGGGAGAAGAAGAAAGAGAACAGGAGGAGGTAAGAAATGAAAATGTGGGGTGTGAAAAGTACTTCCTCATAGCTCATAAAGCTGAAAGTAGATGGGCCTGGATTTTGAAAAGGATGGGGGTGCCTAGGTGGCTCAGTTGGTTAAGCGTCAGACTTTGGCTCAGGTCATGATCTCACAGTTTGTGGGTTCGAGCCCCGCGTCGGGCTCCGTGCTGACAGCTAGCTCAGAGCCTGGAGCCTGTCTTTAAATTCTGTATCTCCCTCTCTCTCTGACCCTCCCCTGCTCGCTCTCTCTCTCTCTTTCAAAAATAAATAAAAAACAAATAAAAAAACAAACATTTAAAAAAAGAAAAGGAAAAAGATGAAGTGCAGCAGTGTGTATTCTAGGTGGCTTTGAGAGATTCTCAAAGATCAGTCAAGGCAGGAAACAGGCCCCACACTTCCCCATCTATTACCCTCTGGGGCACTGCAGAATTTGAATCTAGGTCCCTTCTTTCTAAACAAGTTTTTTTAATGTCTTATTTATTTCTGTGAGAGAGACAGAGAGAGAGCGTGAGTAGGGGAGGGTCAGAGAGAGAGGGAGACACAGAATCCGAAACAGGCTCCAGGCTCGGAGCTGGCTCAGCACAGAGCCCAACACAGGGCTCCAACCCACAAACTGTGAGATCATGACCTGAGCCGAAGTCGGAAGCCCAACCGAGCCACCCAGGCGCCCCTAGCTCCCTTCTTTCTGAAGTGGGCTGCTGCTTGGCCCATCTGGAACCGTCCATTGAAACCCCTCCAGAAATCCTCCCACTGGAAGCAGCAGATGGCAGGGAAGGGGCAGCTGGTGGGGAGAGGGTAGCAGCTCCACACCCAGGGCTGGTACCCTCGGACCTAGGAGATTTGCAGGGCATGAGAAGGAAAACACAGAGAAAGGAAGCAAAGAGGGAATCTTCTTCCCTTCCTCTTTTGTCTGAGGAGGCAGGTTGAGTCCCCAGAGCCTGGGGATCAACCTCACCTCCCTTTCTGCTAGCAACACACACACAAGAAACAGTAAGATAGAACAGCAGGAACAGGATGCTCTGTCCAACTTGATTTCCTGGGAGACACAAGCTCCCCAGCCAACACTGTATTCAAATCAGTCCTCTCCCCAGCTGCTTCCCAGAAAGAAACACCTCTATTCCCAGAAGATACCTCCTGTGAGAATCTTCTACCTTTAACATTTATGTGCTTATGGACTGTTTGCTTTGCCTTGCTGTATTAAAGAAGAACATAATCAAGAATCTTAGCTAAGAGTGACAAGGCCTGCGTTTAAGTCCTAACTCCACCTCTTACTATCACTTCTTTCCAGGCTTTTGCTTCATCATCCATAAAATGGGACTATAATAGCTGACTTAGGTCTCAAGGTTGTTTTGAAGCTAGGAGATGACAATATGGTTATTAATATGGTCAATAATTCTTTATCATCAATTTTGAGATGCTTAAGAAGCTCTTTAGAAATGAGGGATGACTATTCTATCAGCCCACGCTCCTACTTCGCAAAGTCCAGTTCTGTGGGCAGCTCTGCTCTCCAACACAGTAGTTTTTCCACCATATCAGAGACCTCCCTTGGGACTGCAGGTCCTCTCTGTGAACCCCCAAAGTTTACAGTTTCATTCCATCAAGCTCAACCAACTTTTTGGTGATAGGTTATTCAATTTCTGTAAGGCTACAGTTTTCTCATCAATTAAGCAGGGCTAATAATACTACCTATCTCATAAAGGTATATGGGCATTACATAAGCAAATATAGTTAACTCACAATGACTGAGACCCTTGCAAGTGCTCAATGGCTGTTAATGTAAATAATGTGCCAGATGCAGGGTTTCTTCAAAGTGGAGCTGATGTCTGTAAGGAGCCTATTGGCTTCTAAGAGGGGTAAGACAAGGCACCAGTAACTCCAACCCAAAGTCCATGACTGGGCCATGGCTGGGAGAGGCACTCCAAGTACAAATAACAGTAGGCCAGCAGGAAAATTCAGAGCTTTTGTAGGCAACAGCAACAGCTCAGGCTTGCTAAAGCTAAGCTATACCTTCACTCATCTAACACATATTTACTGAACAAGTACAAAGCACGAAAAACTGTGCCAGGTTCAAGGAGATGCAGTGGAGAGGCAGGCGGGCCAAAACTTGGGGGACAGCTGGGGTGTGTGGAGACCGTGGGCTAGCCCCTTGAAGGGGAACTCTCCAATTATCAACTCTAACTCTTCTAGTCTTTTTGCTTCTGTTTCCCTAAGGAGGAGGGAAAACAGAGAAGGAAAAAAAGTCAGTTCTTTTGGTTAAGGGTCCTAATTGACCAGCCTTTACTATAAGTAACAAACACTGTGTAACCTGTAAGCTTTGATTAATGAAACACATTATGTCTGTTCTTGTCCATTTGGATGAGAAATTATGGGAAAGGGAAGGGAAACCAGAGAATTTCAAGTCCTTTCCCCACCAAGCAACACACACATAGCTTCCCAAAGCTGAAAGCATGAGAAAAGACTTGGTCTGG